TCAAAATTTTTTACAAATAAATATCTGAAAAGTGTGGCGTGCATTTGTATTCAGACCCCTGAGCCCCCCTCAGCCCCCCTGAGTCAATACTTTATAGAACCATCAATTACAGCTGCAAGTCTTTTATGTACCACTTTGTTGGTACTATCACATAAAAAATCCCAATAAAATACATTTACATTTTTGTTGTAACATGACAAAATGTGTAAAATTTCAAGGGGTATGAATACTTTTTCAAGGCACTGTACCTAGAAGAATTGATGCTGTTTTGAAAGCAAAGGGTGGTCACACCAAGGTGTCCTTTTATGAAACAGAGATCAGCGGCGATCCTGAGGATCGTTGCTGATCTCCGATCATTAGTGGTTTAGGAAACAGAGATGATCAGAGGAGAACATGTTCTCCGCTGATCATCTCAGCACACAGATGCCAGTGTATGAAGGAGCGATGTCAGCCCTTCCCTGGAGATCTGTGTTCTCCATCCAGATTCTCCAGCCCAGAGGTGGAGAATCAGGGGAACCGCAAACAAAGCAGCGATAATTTACCACTGCTTAGTAAACGGTGTTTGACTGATCTCTTACTGTAATCTTACAAGAATATAGTAACAGCAGCTGTTTTCTAGCATTCAAAGCGTTTGTAGATCACTTCTCTCCTCATTCGGAGAAGTGATCTTCACCGCTTCATAAAACGGCATTCAGAGAACTCTCTCCTCTGATAATGCCGGAGAACTGAGCAGCGGTCATTTACAGCTGCATGATAAAAGGACACCCAAATACTGATTTGCTTTGGAATTTTCTTCTGTTAATTTCCTTTCTTTTTTTCTACTCATATTGTTAGTTGATAAAAATAAAAAAATACTAAAAAACTATTAATATTTCTATTTCTGAGACATTTCTTAATTTACAGCATTTTTTCACACTTGCCTATAACTTTGGCACAGTACTGAATATTATTTTATCATATCCCATTTCACATAATTTACAAATACTCAAAAGAGTCGTAGTGGTTAGAAAATGAATCATCATATTGGTTTCTAGAGGAAACCATTATCCCTAATCATTTTCTAATCAGTAAAACTCTTGTGAGTATTTATAATTATCTGAACTGGTATTTACATAGTTACATAGTGAATCTAGTTGAAAAAGACATCTAGTTCAACCAACAGAGAAAACACACACACCCACACATTAGAAAACTATCCAATACCCATAAATGATCCAGAAGAAGGCAAAACAACTCAATAAAGAATAATAATCCAATTTGCTCCAGTGCGGGAAAAAACTCCTTCCTGATCCCCCGAGAGGCAATCGGATATTTCCTGGATCAACTTTACCTATAAATATTAGTATCCAGTTATATTCTGTGCATTTAGGAAGGAATCCAGGCCTTTAACCACTTGCCTACCAGGCATTTTTACCCCCTTCCTGTCCAGGCCAATTTTCAGCTTTCAGCGCTGTCGCACTTTGATTGACAATTACACGGTCATGCAACATTGTAACCATATTAAATTTTTATGATTTTTTCACACAAATAGAGCTTTCTTTTGGTGGTAATCGCCACTGGGTGTTTTATTTTTTGTGCTATAAACATAAAAAGAGCAAAATATTAAAAATAAAATGTTTTTCTTTGTTTCTATTATAACATTTGGCAAACAGGTAATTTTTCTCGTTCACTGATGTGCGTTGATGAGGCTGCACTGATAGGCAGCACTGAGGGGCACTGATAGGCAGCACTGAGGGGCACTGATGAAGTGGCATGGATAGGCAGCAGTGATGAGCACTGATCGGCTGCACTGACGAGGTGGTACTGATGAGGTGACACTGGTGGGCATTGATGAGGAGGCACTGATTATGCTGCACTGATAGGCGGCACTGATGGGCACTGATAGGTGGCACCGATAAGGGACACTGACGGGCGGCACTGATGGGTGGCACTGCTAGACACTGATGGGAGGCACTGCTGGGGGGCACTGGTGAGTGGCACTGCTGGTCACTGGTGTGCAGCACTGCAGGGCACTGACTGACAGCCCTGACTGGCTGCACTGACTGATGGCACTGACAGGCGGCACTGATGGGTGTCACTGCTGGGGGCACTGATGGGTGGCACTGGCGGGTGGCACTGCTGGGCACTGGTGAGTGGCACTGCTGGGCAGCACTGCAGGGCACAGATCATCAGTGCCCTGATGATCAGTGCTGATCTCCTCTGACAGTTGCTGGTTATCAGCAGTACTTTCCTCACGCTGTGACAGGACACAGTGATCATGTAGTTCACCAGGTGAGCGCCTCTGGGGGCTCGCGAGAAGGCGTCATATGACACCCTCCCACAACTCGGTAACCGTACTGTAGCCGTCATTCGGCAATAACGCGGTTACTAAGTGGTTAAACAATCTACTGAGCTGGCCAGAACTGGCTCTTGAGGGAAGCTATTCCACATTTTCACAGCTATTACTGTGAAGAAGCCTTTTCATATTTGGAGAGTAAACCACTTTTCCTCTAAAATTTGAGGAAAAGTATATGGATATTTGGATACTGTTGCTCTCAGTATATAGAGTGGCCACCAGGTTATATGAGCATTGTCAGCTGTTGCAGAAAGTTAAACATGAAAGTATAAAACATAGAAAAGCATGATTGTCAGATGGGTTCTCACATTGTAAGAGACCTATGGCTTTCTCACTAATAATTTCCAAAGTGGTCTTCAGAGACTATCAGTACAGATTGGTGACATATGGGAGCAGAATAGGTTTCCTGCTGTATAAACTCCCATGATGATTAGCAGGTCTCTGTAGTGTCAAATCTAAGATCCGCCTAAGCTCACTCACAGGAGATATACTTAAACATAGGATTTAGTCTTTTCAAGCCATTAATATAAATTGCAATTTTTCAACTCTGTTTAGCAAGCTTCTATGAAACCCTAGCTGCATCATCCGATGTGTTGGAAAGGTCAGGACAGGTGGATCGTTCTGGTTCCTAACAGATGGATCCTGTTTTGCAGCAAATAAGTAACCTGTTTCTGCACATCCAGTTCCCTTGGCTTTCAGCTTATGGAACGGTTCAGTCATAACTACCTAGTCTGTAAAGACTCCCTTTATGTAAAAAAGGCAGCGTCTGCAGATAAGAAAATACATTTGGCTAACTATCATAAACCTGTCCAGCATGCGGTACAATTAGCCAAATGCAAATGAAAAAGCCTGTACTATACTGTACTACAATGCACATCACTTTCATTTGCTTGTTAGACTAAATTTGCTTAACCAGATGCAGCAGTGATAATTTACTACATTCAGGGCAAACACAGGCCCACAGAGAGAGAAGACTGCCTCTTTAAAGTGGAACTCCACCATACTGTAGACCAGGGGTACTGAATTAAAATTCAAGGAGGTCCCGTCACGAAAATTTTATTCTGGCCGAGGTCCGAATAGGGTGTGCCCATCAGCGTGCCCCCGTACATTAGGTGCCGCCATCAGAGTGCAACTTGTCATCATGTATTCTCATCACATCAGGTGAGCCCATCAGAGTGCTACTTTACATCAGTTGTCCCTATCAGAGTGCCCTTTTACATCAGGTATCCCTATCACAGTGCCACCTTACATCAGGTATTCCCGTCAGAGTGCCCTCTTACACTCAAAGTACCCCTTTGTATCCAGGGGCGGACTGACAACTCATGGGGCCCCCGGGCAATAGGGGATCACGGGGCCCCTGTGTCCTTGCCCAAACTCAAAAAAGCCTATGAAAAAGGTACCAGGGGCATCTCATGGGGCCCCCTACTGACCCCCCCCCGGGCAATAGGGGATCATGGGGCCCCTGTGTCCTTGCCCAAACTCAAAAAAGCCTATGAAAAAGGTACCAGGGGCATCTCATGGGGCCCCCTACTGACCCCCTGGGCAATAGGGGATCATGGGGCCCCTGTGTCCTTGCCCAAACTAAAAAAAGCCTATGAAAAAGGTACCAGGGGCATCTCATGGGGCCCCCTACTGGCCCTGGGACCTCGGGCAGTGCCCGAGTTTCCAAATGGTCAGTCCGCCCCTGTTTGTATCATATGTCCCCATTAGAGTGCCCCTTTACATCATATTCCCCATCAGAGTGCCCCTTACCTTCACATGTGCTCATCAGAGTGCTCCTTTACATCATATTCCCCATCAGAGTGCCCCTTACCTTCACATGTGCCCATCAGAGTGCTCCTTTACATCATATTCCCCATCAGAGTGCCCCTTACCTTCACATGTGCCCATCAGAGTGCTCCTGTCCACAGTATGTGTACATTTGTGCCCCCTTAACATAAAATATGCTCATCAGAGTGCCCCTTAACATAAAATAAGGGGAATGCTGATGGGCACATGTTATATTAGGAGCACTCTGATGGGCACATGTTATATTAAGGGGCACTCTGATGGGCACATGTTATATTAAGGGGCACTCTGATGGGCACATTCATATTAAGGGGCACTCTGATGGATACATTCTATGTTGTGCCCATCAGAGTGCCCCTTAACATTCAGTGTGCCCATCAGAGTGCCCCTATAAGACCACACCCTACTTTGAGGCAAGACAGAAGCTGTGCCGGGATCCTTGCTGGACACTTGTGTGCAGGCAGGGAGCGGGAGCCGAATAGACAGTGAGCTGAAAGGGGCGGGGTGCACACGCGATGTCGTGTTGCCGTGACGACCACCCTGCTCAGCGGCGGATCTGTTATTGTGGGCTGGCGGTCCAGACGGCAGCACTGCTAGGGCCGTTCGCTGACCACGGTCCGTCATTTAGTGACTGCTTCTGTATACCAAGAACGCCCCCTGGACACCCACCTATGGCCACAGCTTATTTTACTAAATTTACTAAAGACTTCTGAAAAGTACATAAATACTGGGTTCACTTTTTGGTTCCTTAGATAAATTAAGCCAGATTCTAAAAGAAGGATCATGAAAATGGTTGCCTACATGTGACATGCACAAACCACCCTGGGATTTTGCTTTCCTGCACACCTTTTAAAATACAGCAAATGAAGTAGGGATGTGGACAGGGGTGGACTGACAACTCATGGGCCCCCGGGCAATAGGGGATCATGGGGCCCCTGTGTCCTTGCCCAAACTCAAAAAAGCCTATGAAAAAGGTACCAGGGGCATCTCATGGGGCCCCCTACTGACTCCGGGCCCTCGGGCAGTGCCCGAGTTTCCAAATGGTCAGTCCGCTCCTGGATGTGGATGAGCAACAAGCAAGCAAGACTTTCCACCTTGAAGAACTATACCCTTCTCTGATCTTTTCGGCAGGGCAAGGTTGTTTATCAAGAGAGTTGAGGGTGAGGACTGGCAGTGGTACAATATGCAGTACACCTCCATAAATTAGCACATTATACTTTAAGGACCTGAGTTCAGCGGTCAGTCCAGAGATGGCAGAATCCTTGCCTTCTAAGATTAACTCAGTGCACACAAAAATTAAAACAAATTCCAGTTATGTATAATTAAATCTATATAAAATTAGTACCAGTGAGCCTGAATTCACATATATGCAAGCCAGGATGTGGTGCAATTTTGATGTCCGCTACATGCAGTGCAGGTGCGGTTCTGTTGCGATATGTTAAAGTGTATCAGTCTGGAAATCATGACCGCACCGCACTGAAAATCGCACAGGACCCTTTTTAAAATCGCACTGCGGCTGGCCCACATGTATGTGAACGGGCTCTGCAGTAAAATATTTGATTTTAATTGTCATGCGAATCTGTGCATTTCAAATCACATCACAATTTGCATATATGTGAACCGAGGCTGAAGAGCTCCCCTAACTCTGAATATCAAAAAATGTCCATATGTACATAAAAAGTAGTGCAAACAGACATTACTATGCAAATTTAATTAAGTAAATATAAAATATGTGATAGAGTGCCATATACCATATTCATGAGATACACAAGCAAAAAGGAGTCCCATACACAGTCCAATTTATCCATGAATAATATTCCCAAGAAAATCTCCAGTGTTCATCAATCATAAACTCTTTCAAGCACCAAATGTGCCCACCACTATTCACAGTGTCGGTGTCTCCTCTCCTTATAGCATGGACCACATTGCTGCAATGGAGATCAAAAAGTTCTTTGAGTCCTCATGCACACCGGGCGTTTTTACAGTGGCTGTTTTGGACTTTTGCGATTTTTTTTCTACAGCCAGTAAACTCCCCACCATCCTATGCGTCCATAAACAGACTATAATCAACGTTCTTTGGCTGGAAAAAAAACCCCAGAACCAGTGGTTTTCTAGAGGAGTTTTTAGCTGTAAAAACGCTCTAATATTTAAAAATGCGTCAAAACACGGTAAAACACAGCAATCCGGCGTTTCTGGACGTTATTTTGAGCAAAAAATTTTTTTTCATGTTGTCAAAAAAATTTTAAAAATCGCAAACGTGAAAAAACGCAGCAAAAACTCACATTTTTAACGTGACTTTAAACAACTAATGTTACCAGAGTTATTAAAACGCCCCGTGTGCATGGAGCCTAAGCCCTCATACACACTTGACATTTTTACAGCGGCTGTTTTTGGTGTATGAGGTTTTTTCCTACAGTCAATAAACTCCCCAGCATGTTATCCTATGTGTCCATGCACACATAGACTGTAATCAGCGTTTTTGGCTGGGACGTTTTTTGGCTGGAAAAAAAAAAAAAACAAAATTAGTGGGTTTCTAGAGGGGTTTTTTCAGCTGTAAAAATGCTCAAGCACTGAAAAACGTGGCAAAATGCTGCAAACTGGCGGTTTTTTGAATTTTTTTTTACCAAAAAACCCATTTTTTTTAAAAAAGAAAAATGCTAAAAAGACGCAAACGTGGAAAAACACAGGAAAACACAGCTTAGCGCTAATACAAAACCGCTAAAAAAGGTGAAAAACTCACATTTTTAACACGACTTTCCACAACGAACGTTACCAGCGTAATCAAAAAGTCCAGAGTGCATGAGGGCTAAATGTAAACCATAGACAGCCAACATGCAGTTTCCAAATTCCATTCTCCAGTCCTCAGTATGCAGCAAACATGGAAATCACAAGAAGGAATCTCATAGTGTAAACTGCTTTATTAAGTGTTCTTGCATGGCGACCACTTACTGTTATCTCACATATATATTCTTATTAATATAGCCAAATTTACCACCCTAACTCCTCCCACAGTTTTTACACTACATAGACAGTAATATACCGAAACGTGCGAATTGTTCCCGATTGGTGTGCTATTACTTTGTGGAACGTTTCGCCGAATGGTTCACGTTTTTGTGGTGAAATTGGTCCCATAGGAATGAATGGCGGAATGTTCAAAACTAGAGTGGGAGCTGACAAAAGCTAGAGTGTGAGCTGAAAAATCAGGACATGATTTCTAAACTGCCATCACTCCCTCATTTTCAAGCCCACCTACACAAATCTTATATCAAAACGTTCAGCTATCCCTGCTGCCACTAAAAATGTCCACGGCTAAACCATAGTCCTGATAGTTTTCACAATACAACCATTTGTTTGCAACACACGCCGCCCATTGACATTCATTGAAACTCCACTCTAGCCACCTCAAATTTGAAGGGCAATTTCTAAACTGCGACTGTGCCTTCATTTTTCATATTGCAGAGACATACTATGCATCAAAATGTAGGTCTGGGTCTTGTGATTCTCACAATATAAAGCTCTTCGGTGTAAAATGTATAATTTTTAAACTACAACCGTTTGAAGATGGCAACCGCCAGTGAAGTGAGCAAGTTGGAGCAGTTTGTTTTTAACCGCTCTTCTCTGCCCTTGCTGTAGAATGAGTTGCCATAGGAACCCAGGTGTGTGAGCAGGCAGCAGAGTGACAAAAGCTAGAGTGTGAGCTGAAAAATAAAAGCTGAAATGCATTTCTCACTCTATCAAGCTTGCCATGTGCACTTTTTAAATTTGATCAATCAATTGGTTAGTGTAATGTTTACTATCTTTACTCACTCCAAATACTCCACACAGTTACTCTGCCCACTTCATAAAGTTACTCTGCCCAGTCCAATCTTTTCACAGTTACTCCAACCACACAACAGTTACTCAAGCAACTCCACCCAGTTACTCTGCCCACTCCAGTTGTAGACTACTGGTGGAGGCAAGACCACTTCACACAAATTTCCCCAGAAATTGTAGCTTTTCTAGTTTTTATTAAAGTGTTAGTAAACACCGCTGGTACACTTACAGGTAAACTTACTTGTGTAAGGCTTACCTGTAGATACAAGTAATATCTCCTAAACATGCACTGTATAGGAGATATTCTCTGCTACTGCTGCTGGTGACGCATGCGCTCTGAATACTCATGCCGTCCCTTCAAAACTCTGTGCCGTGGCTCAGTGTGGGAGAGATGTCAACGGCCAGAACCTGTAAGGCAGCCCGGATGAAGATGCAAAACCTGTCAGCAGTGGCAGCGTGCCGCCGGAAGGTCTAGTTTTAATTTAAGTCTTCCATAATGTGCTAATATGTGATATATATACTAGCATAGTATGCTGTTACCTTGCAGGGGGAATTTTTTTCTTTTGAACATTTACTGCAGCTTTAAAAACGATAAAAATTGCACAAAATGATGTACCATATAGCATACGTAGCAAGACACAGTGGAGATCTCACAGCATCAGAACCAACATCGGCAAGATGGCACCCAGTCCCACCCCAGCGTGATGACGTCATACCGCCCGCCTGATGCGTTGTGCCACTTTGGGCTTTCTCATTTGATAATTAAAGTGTTACTAAACCCAGGACCCTGCATTAACTATATCTGGTCTCCCTGGACCCTGCATTCACTATATCTGGTCTCCCCGGACCCTGCATTCACTATATCTGGTCTCCCCGGACCCTGCATTCACTATATCTGGTCTCCCCGGACCCTGCATTCATTATATCTGGTCTCCCAGGACCCTGCATTCATTATATGTGGTCTCCCCAGACCCTGCAATCACTATATCTGGTCTCCCCGGACCCTGCATTCACTATATCTGGTCTCCCTGGACCCTGCATTCATTATATCTGGTCTCCCCGGACCCTGCATTCACTATATCTGGTCTCCCCGGACCCTGCATTCACTATATCTGGTCTCCCAGGACCCTGCATTCACTATATCTGGTCTCCCCGGACCCTGCATTCATTATATCTGGTCTCCCCGGACCCTGCATTCACTATATCTGGCCTCTCACAGTACATACAACATGGAAATGCAATTATTTTAGTAAATATAAACTGCTAAATACCTTTTCTCATCAGCAGTATATAGCAGTCTTGAGACTTCCGCAGAGCACTGGTTAAAGCTTGTAGGAGGAGTTTTCTTTCTGCTCTAGGAGGATGCAAAACCCCTGACCCTCTGTCTGGACAGTGGTGATTGGCCCTGTGCTGATCACATGAACTCTCCCAAGAAAAAAAAAACCCTCTCTAGCAATACACACTAAACTGAGCATGTGCATGTGGCTACTTGTTCAGTCTGTCTTATCAGGTAGACATTTAAAGAGGAGGAGGGGCAGAGAAGACAGGAACAAATTACCTTTTTACACAATGCAGAGGATTAACCCCTTAGGTTCCACAGTGAGTATAACAAGCATGCTTTACTGCATATACAGACTGATTTTACTGTTGTGGGTTTAGTAACACTTTAAATCTAGGACTAGCCTAAGTCCCTGAGTCTGTCTTAATGTTGGTTTTTACTGATCATTGCACAGAGACACTCCAGACTGGAAGAGGGATGTCATCACTCTTAAGCTGACCATAGATGGATCAAAATTCGGCTGGTTAAGCAGGCACCGGCCAAATTTCAATCCATCCGTGGGCAGGCTAACTGTACAAAAGTCAATCTCTTGGTCAACTTTTGTCCAATCAGGCTGATGGATTTTTTCACTCGATCAGTGCCGCTGGAAGCCCTGATTTATGTTATTTATTACAGGTACTTACAGTATATAGTGCTCTCAATATAAACCGATCTTTACATATAAATTGTACATTCACATCAGTCCATCTCCTCACTTACTCTATCCAAAATGGAAAAAAAAAGTTTTGCCTTTAGTTCTACTATAACTGTAGATGGAGCAAATAAGTTATATTAGCAGTATACAAAAGGATTCTTTACAGTAAGGGTAGTTATGCTGAGAAAAAAAAAACAATGAATATGTATGAATAGATATGAATATAATGGGCTTACCTTTACATTTGAAGCATTTGATGTGGAAATACTTATTCTGCACTCTCAGCACTTCCCCTTTACAGGCGATTTCGCAGTTGCTGCAGAGGATTGCATTTCCGGCAGGCTTCTCAAGGTGGCTTGGCACAGCCTGATGCTGAGATACTGCTGAAGAGAATAAGGCATATTATTTTACAGTTACACAGTGTTCTACGCACATGACTAAATTCTTCAAATACAACATTATGTCTGGGACAATGTGACTGGGAAATAAAAGAACATGACATTTTAATTAAATGCCTTCAATTACTTAAAAATGTGATGTTTATTAGAAACACTTGACTGCATGCATGCTTCAAAATATTAAAGTGGAAGTTTAGGATACTTTTTTTTTTTTTTGGGATAAAGCACCATAGACATAGACTACAGCACCACTCATTCACAGAACACGAAGCATTGTGGAACTTTAGTAAAACGAGTTCTATAAATGGGGAAGAGAGACAGAAGGATTGCAGCATTTCTGTGTAGCAGAGGCTACAGTTAAGGATCCATATAAACACTCCACGAAAAAAAATGCTGCCCTTAATGCACTCATGTTATCCAAGCCCTGGAGGAGGGGTGGAACGTATCGACGATTTTCCGGTTCCAGTGGATGCGTAGTGACGTCACGTCCGGTGAGTGGCGCGCACGCTGGTTTGCGGTGCTCCGGAGTGACTTCCTGATTTCCTTTACCGCCCTAGCAGTCTAATTATGTCAGTATTTCTGTGCTCAAAGCGGTAAATTTTTTTGCATGGAAATATGTTGTTTTTTTATTGTAGGCCTGTAATTCTTAGGAATAACTCACTGAAATCTGTCCGAACAAGAGTCTAGTAAACATCCCGGGTATGATAAAATTTGAAACACGAAATCATAAATTATAATTTAATAAATAATCATAAAAATAATCATATAATAATAATAAATGTAATTCAATAATATAAGCAAACCAAAAACACTGAAATTTGAAATACAGAGCCAAGTTCGCACATCACTGAGCAAAGTCGCAAAATCATTTTCAGTGTCTGATGACGAATTTCCCCACGAATCATTATCACTCAATTCTGCAAGTGGTTCTAATTTACTATCGCTGTTCTCTAGCTGGTGTAAAACTGCTTTTGACCTAAAGGGATGCTTTTTGGACACCATGGACATTTCTCAGTTTCCAGGCAGAAAGAACAGTAACAATGCAGGCAGGGCACAGGACAAAGCACTCGGGACAAAATGTATGTGAAATGGTTTGATACAGTAATGTTATACTATATGATTTTAGTGTATTGAGTGAATGTCACTTTTAAAATTTTTGAATTTCCCGCCTGTTCCGTCCCCCGTATGTCCCGACGCTCGCAGGGAATGGAACCCGGAAGAAGGATGCCGGCTTCGGCCGGAGGAGATGGCCGGGGACACTGCAGGGGGGACATCGCAGGAGCGCAGGACAAGGTAAGTGCTGGAGGGAATCCCAGAGCAACGCTGCAGGGTAAGCCTGAGTGTAGCTTCGGGTTACCGCTTTTGGTATTGAAAGTTTACCCCGAGCTACACTCGGGAATACCGCCAGGGGGGTTAAGGGGAGATTGTAATTTCATATTACCTACTGCAAGTCCACTTCTGCAAAGGAGGAATTTATATGGATTTATGTCATAAGTATGAGGCTCTCAGCTTATTATAGAAGCGTGAACACAATTTATATCATGTGAGTGCATTAAGGGCAGCATTGTTTAGGAATAAAGAGTTTTATACAGTATTGCATTATTTGTGTTCTTTATTTGTTTTTCATTGCCATCTAAACGTGGGATTTGTTTTTGGAGGATATCAAGTGCAGATGTATCTGGGGAGGATACACCCCGTCTTTAGAGCTTGTTTGACTCTTTATCCATACCAGCAAAGAGTCCACTCCATCTGGTGAGTGGGGATTGGATTGTCAATCACGGATGGTGTGAGCACTTTTTTTGTTGAGCACTATTTCTGGGATAGGACACTTTTATTTCCCTGGGCCATTTTTCAGGTTTCAGCACATCAATGACAATTACGGTCATACAACACTGTACCCAAACTAAAATTTTAGCATTTTCTTCACACAACTAGAGCTTTCTTTTGGTGGTATTTAATCACAGCTGGGGTTTTTTATTTTTTGCTAAATTAACAAAAAAAGACCGAAAATTTAAAAAAAAAAAACATGTTTTTCTTTGTTTCTGTTATAAAAGTTTGCAAATATTCACTGCTGTGGTTTTTATTTTTTGCTAAATTAACCCATTTCCATAACGGGCACTTTTACCCCCTTCCCTCCCAGGCCATTTTTCAGGTTTCAGCGCTCTCACACTTTGAATGACAATTGCGCGGTCATATAACATTGTACCCAAACTAAAATTTTATCATTTTCTTCACACAAATAGAGCTTTCTTTTGGTGGTATTTAATCACCACCGGGGATTTTATTTTTTGCTAAATTAACAAAAAAAGACCAAAAATTAAAAAAAAAACATGTTTTTCTTTGTTTCTGTTATAAAAGTTTGCAAATAAATAATTGTTCTTCATAAATTTAGGCCAAGATGTATTCTGCTACATGTCTTTGGTGAAAATAACCCAAATTAGGATGTATTTTTTAGTTTGTAGGAAAGTTATAGAGTTCTCAAACTATGGTATAGATCTGAAAATTGATCAATCCTGAAGTACTGACAGCCAATCTAATTTCTTGAGGTCCAAGAATGTCAGAACAGTACAGATATCCCCCAAATGACCCCTTTTTGCAAAGTAGACAGTCCGACGTACTTCATAAGAGGCATGGCGAGTTTTTTGAAGTTGTATTTTTTTGTCATAATTTTTCGGAAAATGAAAAAACAAAAAAAAATTATTTTCACAATTGTTTTTTTACATACTGTCACCAGTGCAGTACAGCGTCATCATATAACTGGCATGGCGGTGATCAGGGACACTGACTGGTGACAGTATGAAAAAATAAATAAATTCTTTTTATATTTTTATACTTTTTTTTATATTTTAAATTTTTATTAAATTTTTTTTCTATTTGCTAAGATTTTTTTTTCATATTTCACTGTAACATTGTACTACTTTGAAGAAGTGATCAGTATTTTTTTTTTACACAATTTGCTTATAGCAAAGAATTACTTTGCTATAAGCAAGCATTTACCTGAATGACATCGATTCATTCAAGGGTTTTTTTTTTTCGGGCTTAGCTGGGATTTGGCCACAGCTAATCACATGCGCACTCCATGAACTTCGGCAAAATGGCGGCGCCGTACTGCGCACGCGCGAGTTCCGCTATTCAGTACAAATTAGATGGACGTCTGTCATGCTCTGGTTGGTATCCCCTCTGATGATGTGCTTGGGCACGAAAGGCCTTAGGAGGAACCGACAGAGCATGACGTCATCTCCCGCCTGGAGCCACGAGATAGCCCGGCGGCCATTTTAACTTAGGGTCAGTACCTTTTGCTGCGTACTCTGCTGTAATATATTCTTTGTACACAGCCTACTACCCTGTATTTTACCCTGATATTTATCTATTAAAATTGGTTTGAATTACTACACTATGGGCACCTGTTTTTTGGTTCCTGTTTGGGAGCTAAATCCATTTGCAGGATTCCTGTAGTGTGCACTTACTACCACCGGAGGGACGGAGCTTTGGATCCTGGCTAATTACCATACCATCTGTAAAGGGGATCTCCGGACTTCTCTCATACATCTCCAGGCTGAATGATTTACAGAGTTGGAGCTTATTCTCCTCATTTTCCATAAGGATTCCAGGGGATATTTATTATATGCGCATTTTCCATGCGCGTCCGGTGAGTGCGCACTCTTTCCATTGTCTCCGGGCTTTATCAGCTATTCCTTGGGATTCGTTAATATATACATCTATTCAATTATTACGGACTTTTTTCGTTTGTATTTATTTTTTAGCGCTGCACTCTGTTTTTATCTGTTACTTGTGGGTATACTGTGATTACCTTTAGTGCCATAGCTGCTTACTTAGGAGCGCTCACTTTATACCATTTACATT